TATTATTTAACTTATTCCATCACTGACATGAAAATTATACAATGATATCGATAACACATTTAATACAAAAAATATAAATAAATATTTGACGTCAGTTCGATTGCAAGAACTAACAACATAAAAACATGTTTTTATCTAATGAATTCACTATAAACACGATTCAGGTGTGGAGTAGTAAGTGTGTTTTATATTTTATTTGGTTGTGACCGATTCAAGGCTCTATTTCAGTGTAATGTTCATCTGAAGACGAAAAGACTTCAACGCGAGTATAAAGGTAACGTGTAGAATGACGGAATAATATTCGAAACAAGCGAACCACAGCTTCATTTTGTAATGCTGTCTGTATTATTTTAGTATATTATTTTCATCAATTTAAATGAAATTATATTTAGACATAAAAACAGAACAGTCCCCGCCTTCAGGATATGATCTATCTTGGCGTAAAATATTAACAAGATCCGTTAAGCAGTGTAGTCGTAGTGAAATAGGCATATAATACGAAGTATAGAAATTTTGTAATTTCAATGAATTGTAAGTTAATAATTGCGTCTCACAATATGACGAATACATAAATTTACTATACCAAATAAATTCGAGATGTTCTGCTTGTGACTTCAATATTGTTCTTCTTTTTAACAATTACAATAAATATTGGATAAGTGGTATGATATCTTAAATAGTGATCTAATTTAAAGAAATCATCAAAATTTCTGAATCAAATCAAACCGAATAAAATGAGAATTCTCTGCACGTTTACTCTGTGATCAAATAAATTGTGAATCTCCATAGTACGGTAGAATATGAGATTGCATTCTAATACTCCGTTTAAAAGCATTTCCATCTCCTAGAGTAAGCCCTTAACCATTCGAGGGGCTAGGTATCACTGAACTGCCATCACAATCTTATCTACATATCCAAGCAGCTTATATATATATAAGATTAATTATTACTGGCAACCTAGTCTATTTTTTCTTAAGAGATGGCCGTACGAGGTTTGCTAGGTATAATAATATCTTCACGTCAAATTTAATTAAAATTTGTTTAGTAATTTCAAAAGTAATCGGATACTTCTGAAATAGAATAGGTAGCAAACAAATACATTTTTGCATGTTGATATTAGTATAGATTTACATATACTAATAAATTTTAATTTTTCTTACTAATTAGCGGATCTACCTACAGTCACATAAACATTATTTGGGTCCAAATATTTTGAAGTTAAAAAAAGAATAGGATAGTACGGGATTATACAAAACATCGAATATATACGAGAGTAACAAAAACAATTGATATCTCGATGTCATTCATATCAACTCGGATGAAATCCTGTCACGATCGCATTGCCTTCTTATATTTCGGCCGTGGCGCTGGGGCCTCGCATCTTGTGGCCTCCGTTGCACCTTGACATTCACGTTGCGCGTGCGCACAACACTAAAACGTTCCATTTTTAAACACCAACACTTCCGATCTAACCACTTCCTATTTTGATCATATTGCAAACTATATACGTTTTTGACACAAGATTTAATAACAGATTAGCAGTCGGTAGTTGGCAATCGTCTAGGTCCTTCCGTATTTCAATAAATTGACTGACATTTGAAATTTATGTACAATATTAAATATCACTATGAATATTGTAATTTCAATATAGAAAAGATTTGTATTACTATATCTTATATTCTTAAAATTTATAAGGTCATTAAAACAATAACCAGATTTAAAATGTATTATTTATAAATTGAGAATTTTGTTACCTTGTTTGATATAACGATTAAACGTTAACTATATGAACAAACAAGTATAACACAAAATAATATATATGTACCTCCCTATACATATAATTATATAACATCGTTTTGCATATATTACCTAACTGGAAGTATCTATAGCTCAATTAACCGGATGGTACTATTATAAACAACTTTAACTTTCATTAACAACATAAACAATGTCAAGTGTGCAAAATAAATACGTATATCTACGTAATATCTACGTATAACGCCTTATGTAATTGGTATATCAATTTGGCCCACCAGACGGAATGTGGTAACCGTTATTCCTATAATTCGATTCAATGCAATTCCTGTGAATTAAAATAGTTAAGTTCCCATACTAGTCCCATAATAGTTCACTACCACATTTCATCTTATTAACAAGAACATAGCATGCTTACAATCAGAATTAGGTTATCTGCCTTTATATAATAAAGCACAATTTCAAATTGTTGATGACTGCAGGTACATTCTTGCATAGTCGGTAAATAGATTTTGTTGTAAAAACCGCCTGGTAATAAAAACCAACTAGAAATAGTATAAAAAATATTGTGTGTGTATTCAAATGTACGAACAATGCAGTTTTCTAATGGCCACTATTACACACGGCTATTATTATTTAAACTCGACATCTACATCCTCCCACTACAATGGTTTGAAAGGAAGCAGTGACATTTGGTACATTTTCGCTTTCACTGTATTGGAAAGTGAGCGTAAAAAACGTATTTCGGCAACGGCAAAATGACGAGAGATCAACGACCCCACCGAGTCATAGACCAACACCATAGACAAAGGGCGGCCATATTGTAACGAAAGTAAAAGTTTGCCGGGTCATAGACTACAGAGTGGATCAGTTATGCAGTCACGATCGTGATTCACGAGATGATTTGGGAATGTCACGGTTACTGTCGAACTGCATCGCTTTGTTTTGCAACTGTGTATGGTTTTACTTTTAAATTGAATCTGAACAAAAACAGATATTTGCGTAATAAGACATTGAGCCAATTTGTGTAAGTCAAAATATCAAAACTGTGTGCCGCTGACATTGCATTACATTGGATCAGAAGTACATATAAAACATATTTGTTTTATTTAATTTCTTTATATTTGTCATTAAATTTGGTAAATGGTATTTCAGAGTTGTAGAATATTTAATTTATTACATAAATTTATTTAAAAAATTTTCATCAGCATTATAAACGTAAATATTTAATTAAATTTTTGTCATGAATATTTATTGTGTTTAATATTATCATTAACTTTTTCAAGAATCAAAATCAAAATCATCGAACAGTGTTTTCAACAGGTGTGCTAACGCACTCGGGATTCATCAATATTTGCAAGGACGTATTGAATATAAGTCGAATATAGGCTGAACCGCACCTGCGCTTGTAGCACTTCGTAGCAAAGTTCTACAGCAATATCTTAAAATAGTATTACACTACGCGTATTACACTCACAGACAGATTTAAATATATAAACGGTGCACTTGTGCCCCTTATTGTTATCAGTCTAATACGAATCATATATAATTATTATAAAAGTTGTATTTTTATAGAACTATGAGTACGTTTTAAGTAAAGGTTTTGTTTCTACTTTTTATTATGTACACTTTACAACAAAGCGGTTAATTGGAGTTCTTTGAAATTTCGACTAATCCTTTTACATTATATTTGACAACCTGAGATTATTATTATATATTATAGTATAATAATACCAAAAACGAAACGTTCCAAATACTGCTACAGGAAATGTAGTGGATTTCTTTACATAAGATAATATATTTCTGGCGATAAGTTTCTTTGCCATGACGCTATGTCGGACTAAAAACTTTAGTGAAATAATACTACTTAGTATTATTATTATACTATTACTGATGCAGTAAATATTTTTTACTGTATTAGTAATAGTATAATACTGGCTATTATAATACTGCACATATTAAAGAATCGTTCCAACCTCACTATTAAAATCGATTGTATTAAGTTTTTAATAACTTATTTTATTGTGGAGATGAGTCCAAAAATAGTATATATAACATTAGTAAATAGTGCATTTCTGTAAATTAAAAAAATAAGACGATATATTAATATTGTTTACTTTTAAAAATAAAACTGCAGCATTACATTGTTGTATCATGAGGATTTAGAGAGCAATTGTTTTTTATTCATGGCCAGATTTATTGAGAACTTTACCATAATGTAAATTACCATCCCATACTCAGGAAATCGTAGGATCCTACTAGAGAAATACAATGCATAAAATAGTACAGGGCTCTTAATAAGACTCTATAGCAGCATACATGACGGGCTCTGGTAACAGAGCCGTTATCCGTATAATATTAGAAAGTTACTACTATTGTTAGTAATGCTTCTTAGAAGTACAAATATCTAATTTAGAACCTTGTTCATGTTTTAGTATCTGCATACCACAATAATCTTTATTCTCCTAGTCAAACAAATAAAGATGTGTAAAATTTTATTTAAGATTATAATAAAATTAAATAATTATAAACGAAGTTTTAGAAGACTTCGTTTAAAATCTTTATTAATTATATGATAAGTATAATTGGCGCCTTTTACGTAAATGTCGTAACAATAGTTTTGGTTTTGTTTCAACATACTTAACGATAATAGTAACTTTAAACACAGATGTTAACATCAACCAGTAAATAAGAGTAATAAATATAACTCCAGTAGTAATTCCGTGATAGACCGTCTATTTAAAAAACAGAAACTAAATTAATTACAGTTTATTTACATAAAATCTGTTATATTAGACACAAAATCTATAAATATAAATTATATAATAAATATTCATTGTTTGTGATATAATGATAGTTTTTTAAGTTTACTGACAAATACATAAATTATTCCATAGTAGAGTAATTAAATCGCTTCAAACTGCCTTTAGTGAGAAAATACTGCATATAACTTACATATCTATTCATTATTAAATTAATATATTTTTTATTTTAAATTTCCTTTTTGTTTTAATTTATCAATTGCGCAGTGAACGTAGCGCGGTGCGTAGCAAACGCTACGAGCCGAGCTACGGGGCAGTATGCGCTTGTTTTAACATCATGTACATACAGTAAATTATATTCATTTATATAATTTTTCCACTATAATAAATTTTAATTTTTTTTTTTGTTTAATTTTAGGTATTTTTACATATTTTTTACAATATTTTTTTTTAATATGTCCCAATATGCAATAGTATATTTACCCATTGTGGAGGTCATCGTCTGAAGTTGTTGTGCGTGCGCGGAGGCGTCGAACGCCTCTTCAGGCCCCAGCTTGTCGCCTGCCGACAGCTTGCCTAAAGCACCTCGTACATCACACGAACGTTCCACCTGGTTCCTATACACCGATCACCTTTTTAATTTACGCCTCCGAAAATTTTTTGAAACACCAACTCTCAGCATAGTTTTTCAAAGCACTTGACACGCTCCGCATGCGGAGTCCGGCGCACTTCCTGCGGAACAACACAAGTGATGCGCGGGCGCGGATCGCAGTCGCGTCACGGTCGTCTGCGCGCTCCCTGAACCTCTAGATTCGGCAAAATCACGATAACGACTGCGCGCGAATGTCGTCATGTCGAAATTCGAAACACTTTCACCTAAATATTCCGCCTCCGTTTCGGCGGACGCGGGCGTCGCTCTCGGCGCTCACGCACACACCGCTCGCACCGTTACTACTCAATTACGTACGCTGTAAAAATTGCGTCAGTATTTTTCGTAGCTGATCTTACATTTGACGAGTGCGCGGCCGAAATATAGTTATCTCTCTCTGCTGTTCATTCACCGTTATTTAGGATATATTTTGTTTCGGTTTTTTTATCTGCTCGTTTCGTTGGAGGACGGTCGTGTGAGTGTGCGGATTTCGATAGCGGGGTCAACGAACTACCAAAAGGGATTTCGTTAATAGTATGCCATGATGTTTTAGTACTAGGCTGGGTTGCAACTGATGACGATGGGTGTATCGAATCGTGTCTTGTGTGGTCTGATGGCAACCACTAGCAGCCTTAGTAAAGCATAAGTAGGTCGGACGTACACGCACGCGCTGTTCTTCATGACCGCACAACAGCCGACTCAACACGTATCATCTTCATACATCAATTTACTTAGTGTTTTAGTAACCTACTAATTATTGATTTCAACTTCTTAAAAGGTTATCGTTCCATGCATTGATTGCATCATGAACTTTTGGATGTAATGTAAAACGCGACCTTGAAAATATCAAGATTTGCTCAAGATCTGAGTGTATTATTTTCGCAATACGACAAGGTTACTCCTGCTATTTAAAGGCTGTAGTATTTTAATAAAGTGAATAGCTATGCATTTCAAAGTAAAATAATTGCAATTTAAATAATTTTTGTGCATGGCAGTTCATATGTCATACACTAAAAAACACTTTATATATATACTTTATTATATATATATGCCAAATTTCAAGTACATGTCACTTAATGTCTATATGTATATCAAGCCTACTATAAATTTTACACTGTGGTTTCATATGTTCATCGGGCGTTAACACTAAACTTTTAATCATGAACATGACAAACCATTGCCGGTTTTTGTCAAAGGTTAGGAAGGCCGATGGCACAGTTTGGTGTTGGATTACATTAAAACCGAGTTCATTCGCATCGACTGCTATTCATAAGTACCCTAGATTACGCCTTTGATTCATTGTACACAGGACAATGACGCTATTGATATAAAGTACCCCCATAAAATACTTTCACATTGTATTAAACACAATAACTATAATGTCAAAACTATTTGGCAAACTGGAACAGAGACTGTCCAGAAAAGTTTTACAAAGAAATACATAACATCACTTGATTTTTATATCTACATAAATAGAAAAAAACCCACAGACAATTCTGCATATGGACATGTCGTGTACAGAGTAGGAAATTTCTATAGGAGTTTGTAAATAATTCTATCGTTTATATATATTTTTTTAATATACGTATAATGAATACGTATATAAGATTATTTCAAAGATGTTACAGTTATTATTTGAAACTAACCTATCACATGTTTATCAGTAACCTAATTCAATATAACGACACTACAAAAAAACCTTGATTGGGAAACAAACGATTAAAAATAAACTACCGTTGTTAGTATGTCTGACCGCTGCGCGACGGATGCCGAAGGTATGCGTTGGTTAGTATGCGCCCACAGTCAGGTAGCCAGAGTATTATATTTAGCCAGAAGGAACCCGAAACTGGGTTAACTATTCTCCTGAAGAAAACACGGCCACTTGAAATATTGACGCAACGCACTATGTATGGGTGGCCTATCTGAGAATGGGTGAAAGCAACCGCGTAACCTAATTCGGCACTGAAAACAGGAAGTTCATGCAACATTTGATGCCATGTACATTATTCTTAGAAAACATTGCCAGTCTCCTTTGTGAAGCTATTGTTTAATGGGTGATGTATGATTGCTTTGTCACAATTGAATCGAAGTGGGTTCTACATTCTATTGTTTTATTGCCTCAATACGTCTAGGTTCTATACAAATTTAATTCGATATTTTATTATTTATTTACTATGATAATATATAATAATGTATCGCGTATGGTAGTACATACGATACTGTATATTTATAGTTACCTACTAGCATATTGTGTAACTTAAAGGCACTAGCGATAATTTGAATATCAACGAAATTTGATAAATAAATAAATACCTTTAACTTTAACTTTATTTTCCTAAAATAAAAGTAGCCAAATAAACAAGTAAGTGTTCAAATAAACTCATTTATGGAAAAAAAAATTGGTAAACTGTAAATAAAGAATTTCTAAAATCGAAAAAAAAAAATTATAATCGTTAATTAGGAGTAGCAAGTGATAGATGCTTCGTCAACTATCTATTGTATTGTAACTGCATTCAAATGTTTGTCAGTGCGTTTGATTATGAAGACACTCAACAAAACACAATTTTCGATACTTGTTTATTTAATAACACAAGTGTGATAAGTGACAATCAATAGACGATGGCTCAAGATAAATAAACATTGATCATAAGGTGAACGTATTTGTCAAGCCGAGTTTTGATGTTGAAGGCACACCTCACTATTATTATCACTACGCCAACTATTATCTTCATTATTTGTACAAAGATGTATTCAGGAATTTTTCTATTCAGTCAATATCTATATACATTATTTTTTTAGTGACTAAAGCATAAAGTTCAAAATATAAAGAAGGAAAGTTGATCTTTTCTCAATATGAACTAGTTACTTGACTGGAAAGATCAAATATTGTTATCGGTTGTGTACAATATTCTTTGTGGCCCATCAAATAGAAACAGCGTACAAAAGGTTTCGCAATAGTTATACAAAAATGTGAACAGTCCACAATTCCCACAGCAGTTTTATCAGTTGACTATTGGGCCATATCGATCGAGAAATTCATTGTATCGATAATGCGGATGTTTTTCACACGGTTTAGCGGAGCTGGCTGATTTAGTTGAAGTTCAATAACCTAACTTAAAGAAAGATGATAATCTTATTAAATATGATTAATGGAAAAATCGTTAAAGTCATCGTATGATAAGAGTACGCAAAGGATTGTACAGTGTGATTGATCTATTCTAAACTTTGTCCAATAATTTTCTAAATAAATCTCTATTTTATGTTACGTAATATATTGTTTGTTATACATTTATATATAAAGAAATAATACTGTTGTGAATTTATGCAAATATTTTATTTAATTACATACCTAAACATAAGATAAATACATTTATTGAAACTTATTTAATTTGTAATAAATAAAATAAAATTTCACAATTTTTTTCAATACTTTTTTTCATATCGAAATTAGAATATGACATGAATACTCTTTACTGATAGAGTTCTATACTTCTTTGAGAGATAAACAGGGTAATGTCAAAACATATGATATTACTTTCCTAAGAAATTATCCGTAATTAAATAAATTAAACTAACTCGATATGTTTGCCAATTAATATATGCTGACAATTCTGTTTAGTTAAAATGGTTTCATCCATATTGTTGTTAATATTAAAATAGTTTTTTTTTGTAGAAATATATTTTCTAGGTTTAGGTCTTGTTTAATATACGTAGAAAACAAAATGCAAAACTAGTAAGCTACTGAATGAATCGTGAGATCTTTATGAATTATCCGTATCTGTACATTAATAATATTTTACAAAAGACCCTCCTTAGATGATGCTGATTAGAATAAAATTATTAAAAATTATTTCTAAAGACTATACTAACAATATTAAAAAATATTAGCTAATAGAACATTATACACTATCAATGGATGAGATAACGTTTTCTTTTGTTTTACGGATTACTTAGCCTATCTTACTTAGACGGCCGTGCCCATGTGACGAATAACTTTTTACCTAAAATGTACGATAACAGAGTTAATGACCTCGCATTGTAAGTACCTCAACAAAGCTATTATTATCCTAATGCCTACTGCATAACATTTTTCGATAGCGTAGTTCTGAAGTATTTAAGGTTAATACGTGCATATTAATATTTATCTATTTCTTTATTTTACTATATCATAAATAATAATCCTGTGTTATTATTATCATAATATTTTACTTCGCTTGATGTCATATTAAAATATGTCGCGGTCCCGTCTGCGTTCAATGAAGCTACGTGGCAAAGACGTGCATCGCATCTGCACACGAAGATGCATTATCAGTGTGATGTCATAATCACTGTTTCAGCTATTCATATCACAGTCTCTAGGCCATTAGTCTAAACATAGATCTTTCTTCACAAACTGCCAAAATCATTGCCTGACGACCTAAGCTAGTTTCATACACTGTTCTGCAATATTTCAAAATATCGCTCTATCTAAGGGTTGCCATATAGTGTTTATTTTTGTAAGGTCATTCGGTAGGCCAGGTCTTTCGGTATATATGTAGTAGTAGTGCATGACTCGAATTAAAAAAACAATATGCGTTTTACGTTATGTTTGGTGTCAGTCTGCGATATGTTATTGTCATAAGGAATAACAACGCATGTGAAGTGCTCGTATATACAGTACTGTCAGTGATCTATATGAAAAATAAAATATTTTTTATTTGAAGACACTGCTACTGATATACAACAAATACAAATTTTCGACTCCAAAATCTTTTAAAGCATTTCTTATTATTTATACAACTTAGCTATGATGCGTGTACAGAATAACAGATGATGTTACCTTGAGATTTCACTGAGACTAAGAATAAATTCATTAACAGTTAGGAAGTGCGTAAAGAGCACCTCCAAATTAACAATAAACAATAGTTTGATGTCAATGACAT